GTTCCAGCTGAATTGTGTGAGTCGGTGATCATAACGATTTACAAGAAAGGTGATAGATCCTCTTGTGAAAATCATAGAGGAATCAGTTCAACCAACATCGTCTCTAAACTTCTCGCTGGCATCATGCTCCGCCGATTGTCTGCCGCACGCGTGAGAACCAAGCTGGTTTTAGTCCCGATCGAGGTTGTATCGACCACATCTTCACTCTGCGCCAAATTCTGGAGCACCGGCATTCTTTTCGTAAACCCACCATCTCTGTCTTCCTAGATCTGAAAACCGATGGTTAGACACAGCGATATGGCTGGGTGTCGTAAACAGTGGCGTTCGTGCATCTCCTCAATTTCCTTGCAACCTTAGACCACTGAACTTCTCCATTTTCTTTTCGACTCCACTTTCAAGTTTCCTTTCTTCTCCTATTCTTCATCCAGACGAGCAACCAAAACCGGCGCTCGATTATGCATGGTTAATGGTTGTTCAAACTGAAACATACAAGTGTGTAATAAAAAAAAACAATTTATCAGCGATCGCTCTTCAACTTTAATCTCCAATCGCTTTCCGATCACCAGTTGTTTACTTTTTCATCTGTTTTGTTTCTGCTCCTCAGATCTTGTTTTTGTGCATTGCCACACAGTGTCCTTTTTTCGGTCGTCTCGATTCTTATCGGTCAGTCACCTTGAAAATGTTTCTGCTCCGAGTGTTTTACTTCCATTTTTTAGTCTTCTTTCCTCCCCAAACCTGAAAAAGAGAAAATACCTCATTCTATATTTCCGTCTACCTACAATCTTACTCTGTTGGGAAACAAGATCCACTACCTGGTTCACATGAATCTTTCCTCACATACCCTTCCTCTTTATGCAGCTCATCTGTGGTCCCTTATGAACTATATAGAATTCAATGTGCCAAAATGCAAGGTTCTATCTCTACGACGCAGCGGGAGATTTTCATATTTCCTCGGAAATGAACAACTGCCACACGCCACAAGTGAGAAGGACCTGGGTATCATCATTCAAGAAAACTTAAGCTGCTCACACAACTGCACCAACGTGTCCAACGCAGCTGTAAAGAATGTCGGCTTGCTTAAGCGGATCTTCGGCCGGTTTGAGTTAGCTTTATTCCCCCGTCTATTATCAGCATACATTCGACCACCCACAGAATACGCTATCCAGGCCTGGAATCCATGGCTACAGCGTGATTGCAAGATGCTGGAGCGTCCACAAAGGATGGCCACCAAAATGGTCAGAAGGTTGAATCGGTGTTCATACGCAGAGAGATTGAAGTCACTGGGGTTATATTCCAATCATTACCGGCGCATCAGAGGAGACATGATTATGGTATACCAAATAATGCAAAACCCAAGCCATCCGTGTCGCCCGCTTCTGAAATTATCACCCAACGTTCATCTTAGAAGAAATCCATTTAAACTAGTGGTCTCAA